GTGTGTGTGAGTGTGTGTGTGTGTGTGTGTGTGTGTGTGTGTGTGTGTGTGTGTGTGTGTGTGATAGTTTAAATATACACAATATATAAGAAATATTTTAACTATCGGAGGGCTAGATAAAAATACTATCGAAATATTAACATATTTCATAGTACTACCATAGAGCTCTAACTAAGTTGTATATGGGTAACTGTAGGGGGCTAAACAGAACTACTATTTAAAGAATGGTAAGCAAGGGGCGACCTATTAAATAGTATTATTCATAACCTCTGGCTAATGATCAGACTGGCGAGTTTGCGATCGTGAGGCACCCTGAGCGACAGATTCCTAATGAACGAGTAAATATAAAGTAAAGAGTTAACTAGAATAACCAAATGTCAGAATAATAGTAATAATTAGAGAAAGACAAACAACCAATTTGCCTTTCAACCTAAATTCGAGGTCATACTAAAATGGAGTTAGATTAGAATTGAATTTAAAATTGAATAACTTTGCGTGCTGAAAAGACGCCTTTTCAGCCACCACTGGATACCTTCCTTGGGCCAAGTGCGTGGACCTTACAAAGTATAGTAATGCCAGTAAATTATGACTTTCTGGGGACATCTTTTGGTCGCCCTGAGGAAACAAGCTTACAAATCATACAGAATGAAATGTTTTGAGAATCTAAAAATGCCTGTAGTTTTGTGTGAGGGGGAGGTTTAACACAGTTTGTAGCCGTTACGCCTATGGAATGAGCCCATAATGATAGGGGTACCAGTGTGTGTTTTCATGTATATATATATATATACCTCCTGCAGAGGGGAAATGAGGCACTTTCTCCTCCATAATACGGGCTGGAGTCCATATGAAGGACCTTCTTCCCGTTGACTGACATCAGTCCAGATCAAACACACTCCTGCAGCACACAGATCACTGATCATCACACACAGATCTAGCGTGAGCTCCAGATCACCTCAGCACACCGGCCTGGACGTCTCTAGTGTTGCTAGTCAGAGCTCGACCAGCTGCTTCAGGTGTGTTTGATTGGGGTTGGACCTGAACTCTGCAGGACTGGACACTAGTCTGATCTCAGATCAGGATGTGAATGTTTCTTACCTTCAGTCCGGTTCCCCGAACAATCACATCAAACTCCGGCATCCTGACGCTCTGCGGCCGAATCCAAACACACACTTCATCCGCCTCAGCCGTGTGTGTGTGTCACTCTAAAGAACACGTCTTGCAGATGTAATGCAGACGTCTCTGAGATGTACGCGTGCTGTCACGAGTGTCCAGAGACTCAAGATTTAAACACATTTGCTACATTTTTCAATTTCAGCCAATTAACTTTAATAATAATGAAACAATAAAACAATTCATAACCGTAATAAAATGAAGCTTCTGATTAATATATAATAATATATTGATGATATTCATACATGAACTGAGCACTCAGTCCAAGTTCAGTATATTTATATATCATTTCAAAGCAGCTTTACAGAAAATCTTTATATCTTATAGCTGCATTAATCAGATTAGAGCTGGACGATAATATAGTTACATTTTGCGATGTATAACTACATTTCCCAGCATGCTCCGCGCGAAAAGTGACTACATTTCCCAGCATGCTCCGCGCCAGACACTTCCTCGACTCGTTTGACAGGTCAAGTTTTGGGAGTTTCGCTCTTTCTCACATTATTAAGCTCGTTTCAAAGCGATAGTTTAATCGGAAGCAGAACTTTTTTTCCGGCAGAGTTGCTGAAGTTACAGACTTTGCATTCGCGGTCGTGAAACACAGAATGACTGAAGCAGTAAGTCGCATCCATAAGATCCTGCAGTGCTAACACTGTCCGTCTGTCTTCACCTGTCATCTGTCAGTTCTCAGGTGAGCAGCACACAAGCGTTCACACGGACCGGTCGCCCGGGTTCCTGGAGCGTCTGAGCGCGAGCGCCGGCGGGGTGATGGCGGGCGTCTGTCTGCTCGCGCTGTCGTTCTACGTGCTCTTCACGAATGAGGTGAGACCCGATCATTCAGTCGCTCAGTCACGCAGTGCATCCATCTGTCAATCATCTGTGTCTGCAGGGGCGCGCTCTGCGCACGGCCTCCTCTCTGGATGAGGGTCTCAAACAGGTCGTGTCTCTTCATCCGGACGCGATGTTGGACCCTCAGAATGACGGGCGTCTGGTTCACCTGTCCGGGCCGCTGCGGACCGCGCAGGTAAAGATGACGTCACGCACATGTGTGCAGATGTCCATAAACACTGTCACGTGACTGGGGGGGTAACTATAGAGAGGAGCGTTTCGATAAATATATGCACAATAAACGGAATAAAAAAGTCTCACAGTTCTGACTTTTTCCTCATAATTGTGAGTTTACGTTTCACAATTAATATTTTTTCTCCCAGTTCTCAGGAATCCGTCAGTATTGCAAGATATAAACTCAGAAGACGATATATAAACGTAATTCTGAGAAGTCTGAATTGTGAGATAAGTTGCAATTACGGTTTTTATTTTTATTCTGTGGTGGAAACAAAAAAAACCCAACAGAATTGCGAGTAAAGTCTTAAGAATTAAGAGAAAAAACATAAAAAGTGCAATATGTAAACTGTGAGATAAAAAGTCACAATTGCCTTTTTTGTGTTGGAAATACAACTTCAGCACTTAATTACTTAACATATGTTTGAATAAATTGAATGAAAACATAAAAAGCAATTGAATTTAGCAGTTCATACTCTGTTGTTAATTTTAACCTTTACTATCATAGTAATAAACTGATATTGTTCTCTGTGTAGTCGACAGCTTCAGTCGAGAGACTGTTTAGATGTACAGTACCTGATAGATGTGAATCAAATGAACTGAATAGAATCGTCGACTGATGTGTGTCTGTGTTACAGCCGCTGTACGACCCGAACTACGGCGTGACTGTGCAGGCGGTGAAGCTGCAGAGACGGGTGGAGATGTACCAGTGGGTGGAGTACAGCGAGAGCAGGTCTGTGTGACGCAGCCGCCGTAATCACATCTACTCACACTCACTCACACTCACTCACTCACATTCAGTCTCACTCACTCACTCACTCACACTCACTCACTCACTCACTCACTCACTCACTCACTCACTCTCACTCACTCACTCACACTCACTCACTCACTCACACTCACTCCCTCACATTCACTCTCCTCACACTCACTCACACTCACACACACTCACTCACTCACACTCACTCACGTTCACTCACTCACTCATGTTCATTACATTCACACTCATTCACTCATGTCTGTCTCATTCATTACAGGGACTATGAGGAGAACGGAGAGAAGAAGACCGAAACCACATACACATACAGTGAGTGTCGAGCTGATGTTTCTCTGTGCGTCTTGCAGGCGTCTCACTGAGCTTGTGTTATTTGCAGACACCGAGTGGAAGTCAGAGGTCATCAGCAGCAGGCACTTCGATCAGGAGGTCGGTCACATGAACCCCAGGTGAGTGGCGTGAGCTGTGATGAGTACTGCAACGCCGTGTGTGTCTGACGTGTTTGTGTCGTTTCTCAGCGCGATGGCGGTGGAGAGCGTGACGGTCGTGGCTCCGGACGTTTGGGTCGGGGAGCTCTTCCTGTCTAAAGGTAGCACACGCATTAGCTGCTCTTCCTCGTGCCGCTGCAGGCGTGTTGACGTTCACACGTGTGTTTCCAGGGCTGGTGGAGCAGATCAATGTATTCCACACGCTGAGTCTCCAAGGACTTCCTGTTCCTGTTATGAACACCTTCCTGACGGTGTACGACGATTACTTTTACCACACGGCAAACCCTCGACGTCCAGAGGTGAGTGAACACACACACACTCTCAAACACACTCGTGAACATCACTGGTTTCCGTGGTGACCATTGTCATGTTGTTGGTTCAGGTTGGAGACGTGCGCATTCGTTTCGCTTACGCCGGTCTGAGCGGTGATGGAGTCTATCCTGGCCCTGCCCACAAGGTGAGAACGGCCAATCAGATGCCTCGCTTTCTGAATGCAACATCATCCTACACTGCTGGAGAGAAATACAATATAGTCAGTTTGTCAAATGATGAGCGAGTCGGTCAGCGGTGGAACTGATGGAAATGTAATTCAGTATTAAAGGGGTAGTTCTAAGGGTTGGTGTAAACTTGACTTCCATTGTATGGAAAAAAATACTATGGAAGTTAATGGGGACCAGAAACGGTTTGGTGACTCACCTTTTTCAAAATATATATTTTGTGTTCAGCAGAAGAAAGGAACTCATACAGCTTTGGAACAACATGAATTTTCTTTTTTTGGGTGAACTATCCCATTAACCATATAAAACTACTGTATTTATTTAATGCACAAATTTCTAAGACACTAAATGATGAACATGATCAAAACGTTCCTGTTTCTCACTCAATCTTCTCATGTCTTCTGTCTCTGATTGAGAGTTTAGAGTGTTTTATCCAGTCGAAGCTCTTTTAGTGTAATTGTAGAAACGTCCAGCTTCAGCTGCTGCTTCTTGTGTCAAATCTTGACTGGTTTTTATGAAGTAAAGGTCAGAATAACTGCAGTAATATCTCCAGATGAACACTTACTGGACTGAAGCAGCTCAGCTTTACTTGATTCTCCATCAATCATGTTTTAGAGTCTCAAATCTGATCCTCAGGATCTTTTGAGGAGCGTTTGTTTCCAGAAGCTTTACTTTCACTGTTCCTCAGCGGAGGAATGATCTTCACATGCCTCCAGAACATCTCACATCTTCTGAGGAGCCTTTATTTCTTCAGCTCTCAATCACTGCATTATATGTGTGGATCATTTCAATCTCATCTTACTGAGACAGATTACTGCAGATATAGAGCGACCACTGATATTTAGATCATTTTATGTCAGTATCTGCTCTACTGTTATAAAGATCTCATTGATTTACATCACAAGCATCAGAATTTCATCAGAGAAATATCAGCATGTGCAGTTTGAGTCTCTGAATAAAGTCGAGCTGTTTCTCCTCCATCTTCTCACTGTATCAGATATGATGCATCAGGTTAGTTTGTCTCTGGTGTGTTGTAGGTGAGTGTGGTGGCGATGCAGCAGAGCAATCAGCTGAAGCCCTTCAGGACGCGCTCCGGAGACGTGCTGGAGATCCTCTACACGGGCGATCTGTCAGCAGAGGTGTGTGGGGTCACAGGTCGCAGGGATCCGCCTCTGCAGGCGTGACGCTCACGTGTGCTTGTGTTCCCGCAGGAGGTGTTTGCCAGAGAACATCAGCTGAACAACATGAAGACCTGGGCGCTGAGGCTCGGCGGCTGGGCGCTCATGTTTCTGGGCGTCAGTCTGAGCACGCGGATCATATACACTCTGGGTAATTCACACACACACACACACACACACACACACACACTGTTGTGTTTCCATGTTTTATGGGGACTCTCCATAGGCGCAATGGTTTTTATACTGTACAAACTGTATGTGCTATTGCCCTACACCAACCCTACCCCTAAACCTACCCCTCACAGGAAACTTTGTGCATTTTTACTTTCTCAAAAAAA